GGGCTGGGCAGGGTTGGGCAGTGCTGGGCAGGGCAGGGCTTGGCAGGGCTGGGCAGGGCTGGGCTGGGCTGGGCAGGGGCTGCTCTTGGTTCCCGTTCCGTGTCGCTGCTGTGTCAATGCGGGATCCACTGCAGAGGGAGCCCTTGGCTTTCCTCGGCAGCAGCCAGCCGTGCCCGCACATTTCCAGCCTGCTCTCCTTTATCCCCGAGGCTTTCCCGGCCACCGAGCCGTGTTTGCCCCTCGGGGCTCCCGGGGGCTGCTGCCATCGCTGCGTTTGGGACACAGGCAGAGATTCCTTTGCTGCAAATATTCCGTGTTCCATGGGCTGGGAGTGGCCTTTGGTGACTCCTGGGTGGGTTTTTGGTGACCCCTGGATGAGTTTTGGTGACTCCTGGAAGGTTTTTGGTGACTCTTGGATGGGTTTTTGTGACTCCTGGATGGTTTGGGTGATTCATGGATGAGTTTGGTGATTCCTGGATGGGTTTTGGTGATTCCTGGATGGGTTTTTAGTGACTCCTGAATGGATTTTGGTGATTCCTGGATAGTTTTTGGTGATTCCTGGATGGGTTTTTAGTGACTCCTGAATGGATTTTGGTGATCCCTGGATGGGTTTTTGGTGATTCCTGGATGGATGTTTTCGGTGCTGTTGCTATTGTTGTTGTTTTGTTCTGGTACCAGTCTGAGGTGGTGCTGAGTGAGCACGTTCCACTGAGCCCAGTTCATTGTTAATCGTGGAATTCTGGAATGGTTTGTGGGGGAAGGGACCCTAAACCTCACCCAGTGCCACCCCTGCCATGGCAAGGGCACCTCCCAGTGTCCCAGGCTGCTCCAAACCCTCTCCAGCCTGGCTTGGGCATCCAGGGGCAGCCCCAGCTGCTCTGGGAATTCCATCCCAGCCCCTCCCAGGGCAGAATTTGTCCTGTGTCCCACCCAAGCCCCTCCCTGGCAGAAGGGCTTTGGTTTATGGAGGGGAGCAGGCTGCAGGAGCTGCAGGGAATGTCCTGGGGGAAGGAAAACCCCCAAAGCAGCCACCCCTGTTCTCCAGCTTCCAGCTGTGCCCGTGGAGTGCCACACTGTGTGTCCAGGGAATAATCCTCTGCAGGGAAGGGCAGAGCTTGGTGTCAGCTCCTCTTCCCTGGGCTGTGCCTCCCTCGGGGTTGTGGGTACAGGAAAAGGGTGAATATGAGACCAGGGAAGAAGTTGAGTGGTTTCACATCCTTTTTTTACATCCCTGGATCGCTGTGGCAGGAGGAGGATAAAGAGCCAGAAGGAGAGTGATGTGAGCACAGTGCCATTCCCTGCAGGCCCCTCCTCTGCAATCAGGAATGCAGGAGCCAGAACTGATCTGAAGCTCGAGAAAAGCAGATTTTGGCCAAATGAAGGATACACTGGGGGTCTGTAGGAATGGAAACTTTGCTTCCTTCCTTTGCATGGCCTGGAGTGGCTTGAGCTGCTCCCCCCGGGCAGGGCTGGAAATGCCAGCACAGGCTGAGGAGCCCGGGCTGGGGGGAGCACCCAGGGCAGCCCTGCTGCTCAGAAAAGCCTCGGAAACGGCGAGGCCCGGGCTGCTCTGGGTGGGAAGGACCCTCCAGATCCATCCCCAGCCCGGGCAGGGACCCCTCCCACCATCCCAGGGCGTTCCCAGCCCCATCCAGCCTGGCCCGGTGGGAGGGGGAGGGACTGGAGGAGGGGCCCCAGGTGTCTCAGGTGAGCTGAGGACCCCCCCGGCCCCTGGGCAGGTGCGTGGGGGCTGCAGGAATTTCTGTCGAGGGTGGAGGTGAATGAAGAGAGCAGGGGCAGGAGCAGGAGCTGCACCCACCTCGGGAATCCCTGCTCATGGCCCTGCTGGGTTTGCTGTGTCCCAGCCCGTGGAACCCGAATTTACAGCAGGAGCTGCCATGGCTGAGGAGCTGGGAGAGTCTGCTCCCCTTTAAAGCCTCTTTGGGCTGGCAGGAGCAGCCCCAGCAGCTCTCAGTGTGCAGGAGCCTGCAGGGATTGCCAGGAGGTGTCCTTGGTGTGTCCCACGACCCTGCACAATCCTAAACACCCCTAAACAACCCTGCACAATCCTACACAACCCTGCACACAACCCTGCACAAGGAGCCCTGTCCTGTCCTGTCCTGTCCTCCCAAATCCAATCAGCTCCATCAGCCCTGTCCTTCCCCAGGGGTGCAGAGCCCTGTCCCAGAGAAATTCCCAACCTGCAGGAGCCTGGTGTCCACATGGCAGCTCTGCCTCCAGCAGTGCACCCACATCCCTGCAGGTGGCACCGCAGGTGGCACTCAGGGCTCTGGGCTGGGGACAGGCTGGGCATGGGGGCTCCCTGGGCTGGCAGGGCTTCTCCTACCGCAGGATTTTGGGATTCTGGGCCCCCTGAGCCGCCCAGGGCTGTGCTGGTGCCAGAGCTGGGTCCCATTGCAGCAGCTGGGGCACGGCACAGCTCGGGGCATGTGCAGGAACCCCCAAATCCCAGAGGGGTCTGGGGGAAAGGGGCCCTAAAGCTCCTGCCCTGGGAGGGACAATTCCAGTGCCCCAGGTCACCTGCACCACACCTGGCAGGGCCCTGAGCCAGGGATGCAGCTCCTCACACATTCATTAACCTCAGCGTAATAAATTAATTTATTAATCAGTTAATTAACAGCAGACATTCTGCAGGGAGGGCTGGGCGTGTGCTGCCTTCAGAGGGAGGAGCAGCTCACCTGGCACAGTAAAATCTCACCTGGCACAGTAAAATCTCACCTGGCACACTGAACACCTCACCTGGCACAAAGAACACACACCTGGCACATTGAAAACACACCTGGCACAATGAACACCTCACCTGGCACATTGAACACACACCTGGCACAGTGAACACACACGTGGGACATTGAACACACACCTGGCACACTGGGCACACACCTGGGACACTGAATACACACCTGGCACACTGGGCACACACCTGGCACACTGGGCACACACCTGGCACATTGAACACACACCTGGCACACTGGGCACACACCTGGGACACTGAACACACACCTGGCACACTGAACACACACCTGGGACATTGAACACACACCTGGCACTGGGCACACACCTGGGACATTGAACACACACCTGGCACACTGGGCACACACCTGGCACCTGTCGGGGTTCCTGGCTGCAGGCTGTCCCGGTTGGTTAAGGGTTAAGGGTCCTCTGTGGCCATGCCCAGTGTCACCCCTCTATAAATTATATTTATCTATATTATTTCTGTATCTATAAATGATCACAGTTTTGATATTCAGGAGCTCCCCTGCAGCCCAGTCCCTCCCGGGGTGGGACTGGGACAGGGTCCCTGTCCTGAGGGGCTCACCTGTCCCCAGGTCACACTGCCAGGCTGGCACCACCGGGGTGGCATCAGGGCTGCTGAGAGAGGGTTGGTGTCCATGGGGACGGTGTCACCCTCACAGGGACGGTGTCACCCTCACAGGGACAGTGTCACCCTCACAGGGACAGTGTCACCCACACAGGGATGGTTTCCCTCACTCAGGGATGGTTTCACTCACACTCAGGGATGGTTTCCCTCACACTCAGGGATGGTTTCACTCAC